TTTTTGGTGGTACGCGGGCCTCTCACTGTTGTGGCCTCTCCCGTTGCAGAGCACAGGCTCCGGACCCGCAGGCTCAGTGGCCATGGCTCACGGGCCCAGCCGCTCCGCGGCATGTGGGATCTTCCCGGACCGGGGCACGAACCCGTGTCCCCTGCATCGGCAGGTGGACTCTCAACCACTGTGCCACCAAGGAAGTCCCCCTACCCAATGATTTTAATGCTGCTCTGCTATTACTGCAATTGAAGTATTTAAGTGAAAAATATTTAAATTACTAAGCACTAATATGTATTCCATAGGATGACTTTGTTGTTAACTTCGTTGTTCTGGCAGCTGGGCTGACTTCTTAACTGCTCCTGTATTTTAAAGGTCAGTGCTGAACTGGAGCCAGCCTGGAAATGGAACCCAGATATCCAAATCATATTGAGCACACGTTGCTTGAAGATTACACATAATAGTTCTAATTTCCCTGTGAGGATTTCATCATGGCCTGTTGTTAGCTACGAAAAGTAAATAAGGTTTTAATAGGAAAAGGACAAATGAGATGCTGAGTGCTTGTCGGAACCAGATTTCACTTTTAATTTTCAACTGATGTAATTCTATGACAAAGGGATGATTTCAGGAATAACAGTATTTTCTATACGTAAGGAAGGTAAGACTACTTCTATGTTGGGAGTAGTTAAAAATGTAAGTTTGGGCCAGTCCACTGAAATCAGGAGGGAAAATTATGCCTAGCAAAAAACATGCTTCAAAGAGGCGAAAGGCCAATTATACAGACTACCAGATTTACAGGTGTAAACACTGCTGATCTTACCTAGTTCTATGGGTCCTTTTGCGGCTACAGTCTGTTTAAACCCCCAAATACTTGGAGACACTTGAGAACTTAATCACCCCCCTAACCTTGATTGATGGAACTGTTTCTCAATTCAAGTAAGTCTTGACTGTTTATCCATGTCTTGTTCAGATAAGCTGAAGACTGATTTCACTATTTAAGGAATGGGTCAGATAGCTAACAGCTGTTCAGCAGTCACAGTAAAATGCATATGGCTTCCATTAGAACTTGACATTTTGATCTGTTTATATAAGCTTGAGAATCAAATTTTCTCAACACTCTACCTATTCCTTTCAACCGATAAAACCTGGCTTCTTGTTTTTAAAGACTACTGAACTAGCAGAATAGTCAATCTTGGTGTATCTTAATCTGTAAGTAGGGAGCTTAGGCTAAAATAGTGGTGTGAAATTTTCACTGTTGACATCAATGGTGGAAAGCAGTGTGGTATTTGTACAAAGGGACTGTCCAGAAACTAGCCCATGGCAAATGAGATGAAACTGGCTGGTGAAGGCTGCATTCGTTGACCTTTGGTCACAGTGCACCAAACACCTCATGGATCTCAAATTTTCAGTTGCTGTGAATGTTATGAATCCCAGCGGTCTCTGCTGTGCGCCTCTTTTTTTGCGGATTGGGGAGATTGCCGAGCCTGACAAGAGCAAGCACTGAAATTGAGCAAATCGGGATACCTGCAGTTTCAAAACTTATAATTGGTTGTGGCATTTTACATTGTATGTAGACTTGAAAGAATGTGCCTTGAAGCTCTGTATTTAAGAAGCTAAGACATCTGAGGTGGGCTCCCTTGCAAAAAGCCAGCCAGTCACCATTGAAAAAGTGGTTATTGCACAAAACGGGTCAGAAGAGTGAAACTTGTATCTAGAAGCATTTTGCTACTGCGTGGGGCTTGGAACAAATTCCTAGCTCCAATTTAAAGTATAAAGGTTTACTATAAAAACCCACACCCTGCATTTCTGTAACCCAGAATGACCTGTGACATTTATTTTTGGGCAATTATAACCACAAAACATCTGACAACCTTGATTCTTCTAATTTTGAAATTAGACTAACAGTATTCATGATAATGTTCTCAAACCTTGACAGGGCAGTTGTCTTCAGAAAATTCTTGAGGTTTCAAGTGCCATTCCTATTGTCCTTTTTATCAAATGGCTGTCTTTTTGCCTCTTTGAATATCTTTCATTTTGCTTGCAAAGTCTGTGCTTATCATCCCTTAGTGGTGGTCTGCATTCTTGTAGGGCCTCCTGTACATGCTTGATTAAATCTTTCCATACTTAAGCAAGTTGGGGGTTTTTTTGGTGTGGGCTGGCTTTTATTGCCAGGGAATTTAGTCCTATTTCTGTATATGCAGGCAACTCTAGTGATGGGAGGGAGGGAGGCTCTTTGTCCTCAGGTGTTAAAGCCTAATGCAGTAATATTTTAAAGCTCCAGTTTGTTTTGTTTGGGCATCCTGGTGTAGAGCTTGGTCTATTTCATGTCATGTTTTATATGATAGGTCAAAGGGGGGGAATTTCGCTTGTCAGTTCAGTGTTGACTGTATTCCGCTTGACGTGAGTCTGATCAATTTGTGTAGTTTTTAAAATTTAACACTATGCTGCCCGATTTGCTAGATATTCACCTGTGTTTTTAAATGTGGGTATTTTGGAAGAGAAGTTTGCTTAGGATTTCTGTGAAAGGGGAAAGGTAGTGCTGCTATAAAATCAAATACAAAATTTATTTCCAGAAAAAGCTACATAAGTTTTCATCAATTAAGCTAAACAGTTCTTGAAAACTCTAAATGAAAATATTTCAAATCATAAAAACATGTTTTGAAATGTATTTGCTCTTTGAAGGGACCATCTTACTAAGAAATGGCTAGTGAAAGACAGTTACCAAGTTTCCACGTCACCTTATTTCTGCATACTATTAGTTCATGAAACGGGCCCCCAAGTCTGAAATTGAAGTCCTAAACTGGTCCATATAAGCTTCAAAATGTAGCCTTAACTGAGTGATTCAAGTAGCAGTAGATAACACTTGAGCTAAACTTTGAAGCACATTCAATTACAACTTTATGCGTATGGATGGAATCCATCTTCAGTTTCTTCTCTCACTTTTTCGTTTTCCTTTTTGGTTTTCGTTTTTTTGGCCTGGGGTCACCAATTCCTTGGGTACAATCAAAACACTTCCATCACGGCTGCACTGAAGAGCATACTGGTTTGGATTGACTGGCCTACCTTCTTCATCTCTTAACCTATTAAAAACATCGTGATAGAGATCGCGCAGTTTCTGTTTCATTATGTTTATAGCTTTGTGACACTGGGATCGCTCTCTCTTAAGGGTTTCCTTCTTTGCTTGCAAGTTACATACATCATCTTCCAGATTCAAAATTACATCCAGTTTGCGCCTACGGCAGTTCTGAACAGCAACTTTATTCTTCCCTCTCCGTCTAATATCACGGATGAGCGACACTTGAAAGTCTGTCAGATAGTACCTGCTTAGCATGCTGTTGAAAGAATCTACAGGCATCTGGACAATTTCATCCACAGAAAAAGGGATGTGCAGAGCTTTAGCATGCTGTTCATCACGGCTTAAGTTTCTGTCTGTGTCATTGAGGTACCCATGCCTTATTTTCTGTGACTTCCCAGGCCATGAAAAAGATTCATAAGTGGATTCTAGTGCACTTGGCTGTAAGTGGTAAGTGTGGTTATGTAATATGGGTTGAAATGCAAACTTCCCATGAAAATGAGTGTCACTTCTGTGATCCATGTGACAAAGTTTAGTGGGCTCTGGGTAGCAGCCTCCTACAGCCCCTTGTAAGTCACGGTGGGAAAGAGATTCAAGGTCACTCCTAGAACGTGAAGCGCCTTCACATACAGAGCGCGAGGAGTTATACTTGGTGACAGAGGTGCTATTGTGGCTTGAGTTTATGGAAAGCCCAGAATCAGAATCTGGTTCTTCAAAAAGCTGAGAAACTTCCATTGGATCAAAACCACCTTCTGTGGCCAAAGACATTAAATTTATCTCATCAAATATGTTTATATCAAGGTCATACAGAAGGTCTTGGTTTGTTAGATCCCTCATCTGATTGTCAAATGGAAGAAATCCTGTCAAATTAGTTCCAGAAAGGGTCTGTTCAGGATTGGTAAGAGGAGAATTTAACTGCAGAAATAGTTCTTGTGGCTGTGAAGTCCTTGCTACTGGATCCCTTCTAAATGTATTGTCAGGACACAACATGGCCTCATGGAGATTTACATCGTGACTTACAGCCTGGCTAAAATTTGCATTACAATGTGTAGAAGAATTCATTCCATCATTGGTACTTTCTGGGAGAGGACTGTCTCCCAGTGAGATGCCCTGAAAAAGGAAAGGAAAAAAAAGCACTATAAATAACAAAACTATTTCAATAGCAGTTCTAGTACCTAATACAGTACTACTTGTTCTTTTGTGTTAATTCCTCTATGTAAGTAAGGATATGCTGTTGGCTACGAATAACTTCCCTTAGTTAAATAATGCAGGCAATAGAATACATGATGTGAGCCCAGGTGAGAATATGCTATGTCAGGAAAAGATTTGTTCTTTGAACATCATGGGAACTTAGATTATGTTAGTGTGAAAGCAGGTCTTGTTATTCAAAAATTCTTACCCTAGCTGTTGGCAATCTAAGTCCACCTTGTGGACTGTCATGGATAATCACAGCAATAGTGAAACAGTCTTGCTGCAGGGGGGAGAGGTGTCTTAAATTGGACCAGCATGCTGCCAGAAAAACTAAGGTGTGCCTCAGTTTGTCAAGTTATGTACTGCCGTTTTGATTCATTATGGATTTTATGAATTTGATTATATCTTTGTGATTATTTGGAAGGGGGAACTATACATATTTGGCTAATTCTCCAAAGAAGTGTTTCTATAAGAAGTAAATCCTAAGTCTGTGCTTAAATAATGCACTAGAAACCATTATCTAAGTATTAGTTTAAACTGCTGTGTATCCTAGGTAATAAGGTTGTGTGTATTCACAGATCACTGCAGATATTTTTCCTGCAAGGATAAAAGCCAAGATTCCCATTACCTCCAGTGGATTTTCAGGCTGTGATGAAAGCAATTGAAATAAGTCTTCCAGAGAGAAAGATGTGTCTGTTCCATTTCGATGTCTCTAGAAAAAGAAGGTGCATCATTCATTTAAATTAAAAGACTAAAGTGGTTGACTGGGCCTTTTAGGCTTAATCTGGAAAGGGTAACCAGGTGTTAGTTACTAGTTTGAAATTGTTACATTCTATTCCTTTTTTAGTACTCAGTATTTTAACATCCTGCTGTAAACAACCTTTAACTTGATGACTCCTCCATTCCTGCCCTAAGCGTTCTTCATCTTATGTCTTTAGCTTATATTCTTAGTTCCACCTTATTTTGTCCCTCTCCAGCCAACTTTCCAAATTGATTACAAGATGTTGCAATTTTCAGTCAAATACATGTTGAGAATTACCAAAGTTCTATCAACTTCTTTACTTGTTATTGCTTTGTCTCCTGCCTTAAGGGTTTAGTTTGTTGAAATAATTACTTTGATAGTTCTCTAGAGTGGCTCCAGGAACTCTCTAGTCTTTGTAACCTGGAATTATTTTGCCTTCATGCTTAAGTGATAGTTTCTCTCTCAAGCTTAATGTTTTCCCTCAGCCCTGTCTTAGACGGCACTTATTACTACTGATATGCTTGCTATCGGTCTGTCGATTTTAAAGATTTTTTTCTTAGTCTTTGTTGTCCTGCCATTTCACTGTGATTATGTCTGGGATTTAACTTATTTACTCTGCTTGGGACTCTATTCCTCTAATCTGAGACATAAGATCATTTTAATTTTGGATATATTCTGCCATAAACTCTTGGAATACTGCTTCTCCTTCATACTTCCCAGCCTCTCCTGGGACTCCTATTAGAAATAATTTAGATTTTCGTATTCTATCACTGTCTTTTCTTTTTATATGTAAAGGTGAGCTCCTCTTTGTTGAGAACAGTTTCTATAGCAATGACACATACCAAGGGTTTACGAATTAGGTTTTATACTTTTCTCTGCAAGGACCAGTTTTTGTATCATTTTCTAGACCTTTCCTTGACTCAGGATTCCTAATGGTGATGGTAGTCGGAATCCACACCATTTAGTGTTCTGATTTCTAAAAGTTGGATGGACAGCTTCCTTGCTCTGTCTCCTCGCTGGTGGCTAGAATTGTTTTATTCCTCATTTCCTGAACCAGAAGAGGCTTTAAACATTGAGCTTTAAAGCAGGGAACTCTCCAACTCCAGCCTCTGTCATGGCATCTGGATACAGTTCTTCCTGGGGACTCTTCAGCGTTGGTGCCTGATTGTCTTAAATTCTGGATTTTGAGTTCCCTCTCTGCTGCTTGTATCTGTAGAGTTCTGTGTCTTGCTTTTGAGTTCAGTTATACATTTGAAGATATCATCCATTCTGTCTTATCCAGGATTTCTGCATCTGATGTGCCTGTCAAAGGGATGTCTTTACATGTTAGCAAGTTCATATTCCTGACTCGTGCTGTGTGTGACTCCCATCCCCAACTTTTTACTTCAGGGTTTTCTTCTTGAAGATTCAGATCAGCTGGACTGATTTTGTATATGTGGGTATAAATACTTGGTTTCTTTTTCTGCAAAATACCTTGGGTTATATGAAGCCATGTTTTCAGGGCTTCTGTCTTTCTATGGATGCTACAGGACTTATTTAAGGTAAACTGGTGAATAATAAGATTTCTTGTTCTTTAACTGGCAAACGACACATTCTTAGTGGGTAGCAGACTTCTTCACCAGTTGGATTATTTAAAAAGACTTCCTAGTTAAGAAATTTCATAAACTTGATTCATCAGTCCTGGCCAACCATTGATCAAAATCTGCCTGATGGTCACAAGTGTGTGAGAATGAATAACAGCACAAATCTGCATTCCTGCAAAAACAGTGCTTAACTGTG